TATTACATATTCTGAGAGCACATGAGTTGTAGATACGATTTTATAGATCATAACTGATATTGTCTCTCACCTGTATAGCTGAAACAATTCTTTTTTGGACGTGTCCCCTTTTTTTTTTACTTTGACGACGTCATCATGGTCAAAAAGAATAAATTTTTGGAGCCCTGTCATCTCTCTTTTTTTTTCAAATTTATCAAAAAAAAATAATCATTGACTGACGACAGAGGGCGGCAGACTGTATTTCGGAGCTATCAGACTGATGTTCAGGTTACATGATGGGAAAATTTGTGCGACATTACCAACTAACAGGCGGTTTAAAAAAACATGACAATGTTAAATTTTGTGTGCCATTACGGTACACGCACACATCATGACGTGCACGTGCGTCAAAATGTGAATATTCCTAATATTTTTCAGATAATTTAAAGAACGTTTCACGTCATTTTCAGCATTCCAAAACTTTCTATAATTTACTGGTCGTAGGTTCATATCCACGCGCACAGCACATGCTGAAGCTGGAAATTAGGTTTTGTTACATATTTTGTGTTCCTGACTCTGTATTCATATCAGGAGTCATTCCAGCATATTTTTTTTTTTCATATAAAATTTTTCAATCATCAGCACTGCATACGCCTCAAAGTACGGCGGATCACCAAACTCGTCCTCAGTGACGAGTTCAAATCTAGTTTTACTTTAAATCGATTGGCTGGGCCTTTAAGGGATACACACCTAAACGTCAAAAATGCAGAATCATTACCATATTCCCCCTCTACTCTGACCCAGCCTCAGCGAAGAAGGGCTCTAAAAAGTCTTAGCCAGGGACCCCAAGGCCTCTTTGTTACACCACTGGTCTCATACAGTTCTTTACATTTACCAGTACTACTAAACAGCACTCTACTATTGAGCTTCTTGCACAACTTACTGTATAGGCCCCATACACGCACAACTACTGTACAGTGTACACGAATTCAACAACTTTTTTATTATTATCAGTATCATCATCATCTTCAATCATCAAATATATTAATTAATTATGATTGGTGAGTTGTCAAATTGTCTGTGTAGTGAATGTGACATGTTCGATACCATTAGGTGCAACTAATCGTATCATAAAAAAGGCAGTAGCTAATGTTACACCAGTACTGAACAACCTTTATTGTGAAAGGATGTTATTGTCCTATATCCAATCCATATGCACAATAACCCTCCTATAAGAATTAGGAATTTGTTGACTGGTGTAACAATAGCCAATGCCTGCAAAAAAAATCTACCTGAATGAAAAGCTCGGCACATATACTGCATTGAAGCTCTGATTCCATGACGTCTGACACTTTCTCCATTGCCTTTTGTTTAGCAATTTCAACTTTCAACCTACTATTAAGTTTACTTTTTAACAGCTGAAATGAAACAAAATGTAAATGAGTTTTTATAGGTGAACTACTGTATGCACAACTACAGTATTCTGCAAACACTGAATGATTCCATAAGAATCTAGGCACCCATTCCTGGGTGGAAAAGTTCAACACCTAGCTGTATAGGCTTGCCCCCTAGTTGATCATCAATCACTTATGTACTGTATGGTTGTTTGTTGTTGGCTTAAAGCCAGTTACTCACTGCGTGCGACGGCGACGCGACGAAGAACGCACGCGAAGACGTGGACCCAACGGATCGTCTTTTTAATGAGGTTACAAAAAGCACGTTTTTAGATAGGGTAAATATTTCAAGTCGGCGATTTAGCCTGACCCTAGGTTGTCAAAAAAATCGGCCTGAGGAGGTATAATTTTAGTCGAGGTTCACATGATTTAGCTGTTGTGCTAGTTAAAGTTTGTTTTAAGAATACGAAATGACGTAATTTTAAGTTTTAGCTCGAACTACGACTAAAGTTCGTTTTAAGAATACTGGGGTATGTGTTTGTGGTTATTTTTATACCAGATTGGATTGGATTTATTCAGTGTAAACACCAAGGATAACCAAAGACATATTCCCAGTGGGGTCCTTCTGGTGTTGATTGGGCAGTACTGTACACCAGGTAACAATTTCCTTCCAAATAGTGTTTATACTGCATTCTTTAATGCACATGGGAAATATTGCACATGGGACCAACTGCTTAAATGTCTCATCCGAAAGACTGTGCGCTATTGAAGCTTCCATTTCAGTCAGCCCTCAAGCTGAAACACAAGGAGAGCAACAACGGGACTGAACTGCGGACCAAGATATCTCTTACTTGAGCTGGCGTCGCCACCTTAGCAGTGTACGGTAGTAGAGCCGAGACTTATCCAAGGTGGAAGCTACCGGAGCCCAGCATACTGTCGCGGTAGTGGTGGTGACGCCGTCTCAACAACAGGAGTGCGCATTTTTCATGTTGCTGCTTGGTTTTTTCCATTCTTTGGTCTGCCTGTTTTTGAAGGCTTAATTTATCAATTATTTATTTTTTTATATTTTTCTATTTGTTTATTTATTTACTTTATTCATTTATTTATATTTATTTAACTTATAATAAATAAAATAAAAAATATTCTGATTAATATAGGCTCTTTAATATAAGATATAATATAATTTAATTTCTTTTAAATTCTTGGTCCTACCTTTTTTTCGGCGCCTTGAGACGATTTTATTGTGGAAGGCGCACTACAAATATCCCACTAATACCATTACCATTACCATCTCCATTGTTCAGCATAGCTACCACCAGTTTAGCCGACTGAGCTAAACTGCTCTCTTCTCTTCAAGAGTCTATTCTCATTTTACACTTACCTCTGATTCTAATGTTTTAAATTCCTCTTGTTTCTTTGTTATGACATCCTCAAGTTTCTTTTTTTCCTCTTCTAGTTTCTCCTGAAGGTGCTGGTTTTTCTCGTCAAGTTTTCTGGCCATCTCCTGCTGTAAACCCTCTTCAACTATTTTCTTCTCAGCAAGCAATTGTTCTTTCTGCGTTCTCAACTGCTTGAGCATCATCTCTTCCTTTTCCTTTATTTTCATCTCAAGACCTTTCTTCATTTCTTCCTGAGCTGCGAGTAGATGGTGGTCTTTCTCCTCCATTTTTCTCTGATATTTTTCTTTCAGTTCTTCTTCAACACTCGCCTTTTCTTTTAAAAGGTCTTCTTTCTGCCTCATAAGTTCCGCCATCATTTCATGCTCTTTATCTTTTATTTCTTTATCTAATTTCTCCTGCATGTTTTTCTGTAACTGTAGAATATCTTCTTCTTTTTCACATAATTTTTCCTCCATTTCTTTTTGTAATTTACTTTGTATTTTCTTCTTTTCGGTTAATAATTCCTCGTGTTGTGTTTTTAATTTTGCAAGAAGATTACTCTCTTTCTCTTTCATTTCAACATCAAATTTTTCCTTCATCTGCTCTTCAATTTCCTTTTTTTCTAGTTCTAACCTTTCTCTCTCTGCTTGTAATTCTTTCATTAGTTTGTTTTCTTTTAACTTCATCTCTTCTTGGTATTGATTTTTGACAGTTTCTTTCTCTTTCAGTAACATTTCTTTCTGTCTCATAAGTTCCCCCATCATCTTATGCTCCTTATCTTGTATTTCTTTATCTACTTTTTCCTGCATGCTTTTCTGTAACTGTACAATAGCTTTTTCTTTTTGACACAATTTTTCCTCCATTTCTTTCTGTAATTTACAGTGTATTTTCTTCTTTTCATTCAATAATTCTTCATGTTGTGTCTTTAATTTGGCAAGAAGATTGCTTTCTTTCTCTTTCATTTCAACATCAAATTTTTCCTTCATCTGCTCTTCAATGTCTTTCTTTTCTAGTTCTAATCTTTCTCTCTCTGCTTGTAATTCTTTCATAAGTTTGTTTTCTTTCAACTTCATCTCTTCTTGGTATTGAGCTTTAACAGTTTCTTTCTCCTTCCGTAGCATTTCTGTCACCTCTTTTAATCGCTCTTCAGCTTGTTCTGCCTTCAGTTCCGCAGCTTTCTTTTCATCTTCAAGTCGTTTTCTTTCTTCCTCTGTTCTTAGTTTTGTTTTCTTACAAGCTCCTACATTCCTCGATGTGCTTGGTATATCATAGGTACAACTTTCTGGGTCACGTTTCCGTTTATCAGCTGGGCATTTGAAAACTTTGCCACTATTTGAATGAGGACTCAATCGACTAGAGATTTTTTCTACTTCTCCTGGATTCAAATGTTTAATAGTAAATTTGAATATAAAATCAGTTGAATTGCTTGCTTTTGATGGCATTCCAAAGTGAATTTCATCATTTTCTTTGATCTCACAAGGTGTTAAAGGTGATATCCTCACATGGTTTATGAATATACCATTCAAACTCTAAAAAAAAATCAACAGTTAACTTATATATATTTTTTTTATTTATTATTTTCCCCTTCACATTTAATAGCAATTAAATTAACTCATAATGCTTAAAGTAGAAAATGATTCAAACATTTATTATTATTATTGAATTAATTTATATGATGGCTGTCAATATGACATAAAATGCTGGATACTGTAGGTCATCCTCTAGAAGTATGGTGTTGAACATGCTGGGCCATGGAGGATAACAATGCTGGGCCTTGGAGAATAACAATGCTTTTGCACCGATCATGTTACACAGGGTAAAGAAGAAAGAGACACAAAAACGTAAGAATGTTGATGTTGCTGTTACTGCTGCTGGTGTTGTTACAACAGAATAAAGTTGACCTCCCCAGGTTAATCGAAGTTCTCACTGAATTTGTTTGCTTGTTTTAGACCTACCTTATTATCTACAAGCATCCATTTTTGTGTGTCTTCAACGTAGCTGATAATAGCATGCTTTCTTGACAACATCAGAGGATCTTCTTTGGATAAAATCTGCACTGTAACATCATTTCCCCTACCAATAGATACCTTATAATAATATGAAGAAATTAAATTTATGATTTGCTTTGTTTCATTCAACAGGAAAAATACACTTAATTCATTTAGGCTTTAAAAGATAGGCATAATACTAAAGGACTAACAATGCTTTTAGAATATGCTGATGTTGTGTGGCACCCTGGCCTCACTCAAGATTTAAGTAACACTATTGAAGCGATACAGAAAAGGGCATGCCATATAATCTTAGGCAAACATTTCAATTCTTATGAACATGCCTTTAATGTTTTTGCCGCTTTCTTGCCCATAACTTTTGTAATATTACAAGCAATTTGGCCCATTGGGCCACCATTTGTAATACCTCTGAGTGTTTTTTTTTTATCAATAAAGTGAAAGTGAAAGTGAGTGACTAGCCAATGCCTCATTTTGTACAATAAGTGTAAAAATATGGTTTTTGCCTAACCTAAAACTATATGAAATATAAGATGTCATTTTTAATAAAATGACTCTAAAGGCAAGACTGCTTCAGTAAACCTGTTGCCCGCAAATAATAGTTTTTAATAATAATGAAATTATATTTTTATACAGTACCTTGTTTAGCAATCTTATTTGAATTGTTAAAGTTCGTCAGAGGGCAAGAAAAAAATTGTTATCTTATTTAGCTAATAGTTTTGCCAAAAACCTCCAGACGGAGGAGAAAATAAAAATAAAATGTTATTGGTGAATGTAAACAGTGTAGTAATGGGATGGTTTAAATGCTTTAAATTTATATAATTAGAAAGAAATGTACACATCTTCACGACTCGTCGTAAAAATAGTCACTGCGTAAAAAATAAAGAAAAATTTTATTTTTTTTCCTGAAAATTCCATTTTTTTCATGGCGAATTAGTAAAAAATAAAACTTTAATTTTATTTACAATCATCATCATTGGCAGGTTTGCTAAACAAGGTATAAAAATATTTACTACTCTTTTAAAGTGGGTTCCTTCTTTTTCATACAGTATTCTTTTTTTTTTATGAATCAGTATGATACGGAAAATGGTGTTTCTTATGGTGATGAAAAATCCGGTTATGGAGTAGGCCTAGGACTATTTAAGCAAAAGAAACTTCATAATAAACTACCTAGGCCTATAGGCTTTACTTGGGCTTAAACGAGGTGTAAAAAAGTCTGGCCATTTTTAATAAATAAATGATTTGCACTCAGTGAGACTCATTCTAATACCCCTAACCTAAGTTGACATTTAGCGTCCGTAGTACTCTTTGGACAGGCTTTAGAACCAGGCCTCAGCTCAAGGCTAATAAAATACGACAGCTTGATTAAGTTGAGTGAGTGTGGTACTGGCAAGAAGTAGGGAGGAAAGGATTGCTCCGCTACATAACAAAAATGGCCTGCCGATGTTTTATTGTAATTTGTATGGAGGGAAAGTTCAAAACGTGAACCATGCATCAGAATGGCATTTTATAATCAGCGTATATAATAAACTATGCCCAGTGCCCTATATTAAGTTATCGTAATATCAATTGTAACCAAACCTCATTCGTTTGAGACAGAGGAATGCAATCATATCTTCTTGAAACTTCGGAGTGCACTCGCTCCAAACAGCAGTACTGCTCCATCTTGTTTTGGAAGGAAGGACTTGCTGTACGCGCCCAGACAAGTTCACTAACAACCGGGCGCGAATTTCAGATCACTATTTACACGTTACCCTATTAATAGAAACTATTCTCAGTTGTAGTTCTGTATGGAGGATGATAGTGATGATGATAATGAAGGATGATGATAAAGGTAATAATAATAAATGTGATGATGGTCAGTTTTTTTTATCGTCACCCCCGACGAGGGTTGGGTCTGAAGATCATGTCCATCCGCTGCTCTACGTCACGTCACAGGCGTGAATTTACGTTTATATAGATAGAACACCCATTAAGGCGAAATACAACTTCGCGAGCCTCATTCATTCATTGATAGCTCTATACCCTGTTATTGTGCGAGAACGGACCTATGGGTCCTTTTATGATCACCATCCAAAAGAAAGATGGCTGCGCCCATTGAATTTAGGTGGAACACATTTACGGAAGAATATCCGACTCAAACTGTCCTTACAGTTTGGAAAAAGAAGCCTAAGTTAACGGATGGTAGTTCGTATACGTTTATTTACTGAGATATCTAAATTTAGCACATGATGATGTTTAACTCTTTAGGCTAGGCCTAACTGGACTAGCCTAGGTCACTAGCCTAGGCCCTAGGCTCGGCCTGGACTAGGCTAGGCCTGGCCTAACTGGACCAGGCTAGGGCCTAGCCTAAGCTAGCCTAGCCTAGGGGCCAAGGCTAGCCTATGCTATGATGTCATGGAATGATGACCCTAGCCTACTGATCTGTAGCCTAGTAATAATAGCCTGCCGCCTAGCCTAGCTGTGGTCGCTATTGTGGAGATTTGGTTAGGGAGTGTAGGCCTACCCAGGCCCATGTGGTGGCCTCTAATCTATAGCCTAGGCTGGTGGCGTCAGAATAGCTAATTTAACACTGGAATGGAAGCGGTGCTTCCAAGAGTATGTGCGCATGCTCTTCTTCTCACAAATCTAGACCGCCACTGCCGATTGGGTATTCTATATATAGGCCTAATCGCAATGATTAAAATTTAAATAAATTTGCATACATATGACCGGTATAGAAGAAACTTCAAATTATTATTATTTGAATTGAAATTTGTTAAAATACAGGAATCGGAATTCCTTTGCAGAGAAAATACTACAACCATGCCGGTATAAAAAATGACCCTTAGCATCAGTGGCGTAGGGGTCTTGAAATAAAAGGGAGCTAAATGAAGTGGGAAGGTGGGGGATCAGTGATTAGGTGAGGGGGATAACTCGTAAAATAAGGTTATTTGAAGTGATTTTTAACTACATGAGCATGGTTTGTTGGCGGGGGCGCAACTGTGAAATGGGAGAGTATTTTTTTTTTTCGTGTGTGGGAGGGGGGGCGTGTACGCCCCTCGCACATTATAGATATGCCAATACCTAGCATACCCTGCAGTTTACCCTACGGTCCGCCACTGTTTAATGTACAGTACTAAATCACAAATTATTGTGTGCTTTATTTTTACAGAGGGTGCTAAAAAGATCGAGTTGATGACAATGTTCAGTGAAGCAAGCATGTTTTTAGAGCCAGTCTTCAAGACATATTTGTCTGCTGAATTAGATACTTTGCAAAAATTCTTGTACAAACTTAAAAACCAACAAAGAAATTGGAAATGGTTCAATTTACTACAAAAGGTAAATGTATGCCAACCACCCATTGGTGGTATATAGGGGGTGCCAACCAACCAATGGTCGTATCTAGGGATGCCAACCAACCAGTGGTTTATCTAGGTGTGCTCTACAGTAGCCCTTTGGAAATACAAATATTTTCAGACTCTAATCTTCAATAAATCCCATAACTATTTTAATAAAATATATAATACAAACAAAGCTATCAAAATATAAAATTATTATTTTTCTTGTTCAAGTCTTCCTTTCGGCGCCTTGAGACGATTTTATTGTGGAAGGCGCACTACAAATATCTTACCATTACCATTACCATTAGCTCAGCACAGATCACAAAGCTTTTATTTTTACAGATTCACAAGACTTTAAAGAGAGCAAATGATATTAAACTACACGAGTTCTTCAAGAAAATGTCCTCAGTATGTGCAATGTAAGTACACAAAACTGGTTAAGTAATTAGAGATACACGCCCCCACCCAAACCCCACGTCCATCTCCACCCCCACCGTATTGGTTATCCTGGTTTGTACTGATGTAGCAGTCATAAAGATGCATGCTTTTATGTTCACATCATAACAACGAGGGCTGAAATCATTGCCTAGTCAAAATTCTTCAGATTTTTTTGGTCTTAACTTTAATATAATTACTTTTTTTCTGATTAATTTGAATTATTCATAATGTGTATTTGGCCATTTTCAGGTATAACATTTTTATCCCTTTATGTGTTCAATGTTTTTATTGTATGCCATGGAAAGAATGAATAACATTTAAAACCTTGCTTGTTATTATTTTTTAAATTTTAGTAAGGATGATTTGAGTGATATGGAGAAACTTCCAAATTGCAAAACCATCAAGGTGCTTCTGGAGAAAACAGTTGGATTGTCCAAACTCTGTACTTGCATCTTAGAAGATAGCGAGTACACATTTACGTATCCTTTGAATAATGGTGAGGAAATATATATAAGGATATACAGTGTTCACACTTCTTAAGAAGGTTGCAGGGACACCAAAACTATTGTGTACAAATAAATATTCTGTATTTAATATACAGTGTGTCATCCCTTGTTTTCTGTCAGTTGTGATCAGTCTCACTACCGTATATATGATAGGACCAGAACATATAATAAGTCAGTCGTGACATCTTCACTTGCACGTAATTTTCCTATCACCAAGCAAGAACTAATTCGATATACTGTAGTGCCTCTGATATTTTGCGTTTTGTGTACGAAAACCTCAATGAAAGCTGGGTTTTACATCGCGATGAATATTTCATTGCTATCCAAGCTCTAAACGCAGACAGCAGACATATCAATTCCGTAATTTTAATAGCGCTGGTTAACACAAATGACCACCGACCTAGACAAGGCCTAGAAAGGCATATAGTTATGAGATAACAAAGCAATTGACTTATAAATGGACTAAAAGAGAAGGCAATGCTGAAATCAGGGAGATGTAAAAAATATTTTTACATCTCCCTGCTGAAATATTGTAATTCATAATAATGTTTACAATACATTTTAATATATTAAACAAATATCTACCAGGCGGATAGGCCTACCTAAACTTCAACAACGATCAATTTATTCATCTTCAGAGTGTCAATGCGCATACTACTATTAGTAAATCATTCTTATACGCGCAGCTAATGCACATGCATAGATAGTATATTAATCACTGAGCAACTGGTCACCACAATCTACAGTTTGATTTAATATAGCCAAAATATAATTATACAGAACTGGGTGACTAATTTATAAAGCATTTATTCAAGATATTTATGACCCTGTAGGAAATAGAAGCCTTAGGAGGCCTTATTTCCTATTATTAGAAAATAATGGCTCCTTTGCTACTATTTTCTATATAGTCCTCAGAACTTGACTATAATTGCATATTAGATGTATGTATGTTATGTATTTTAAACTAATTTGCAGCACTCTATTGCTTGTTATTACTTTCTTTATCAGCTTTTTAGTCTGATTGTTGGGCATGTTCAGGTTGGTCAATTTCTATCACAGAACTTGATTTTTGTAGCTATCATCAGCAGAATATGGTAAGGGTAATTTGATTGGATACATTATCTATAAATTTTAATTCTTTGAATTTCATTTAACCGGGAAGGAACTTGTATGGAGATTCTCCTTACCAATTTCCATGTCACACTTGTTTCATTAGTAATAATAATAATAATAATAATAATAATAATTCTTTATTTGTCCTCGTATATGTATGCCTACACTCTGGGAAATTTGGGCTGGGTCCCCGGGGACCCGCGGCAGCCATAGCTCGGCGCCAACTACCCCACTTACTCTACAACATCAGACGGACAGATACATACATGGTCCTTAACTCGCCTAAACTCTCCTGAGAGGTTTATTTGAGCTGAGACCTGAATTCAATACTCGTTTATTTGAGTAAAAGACCTGAATTCAATACTCGATGCAGAGCCGGGTATAGAACCCGGGCCCTGGCGTGCAAAAGGCAGGAACCATACCAATTAGCCAAACGCTGTGTATCATTACTGCAATTGTTTTTATGAAACTTTTTTGATAGAAATTATATATTGTTTTACTAATACTATACAGGTACTTTGATTTGCATATCACTCAATCTTGTAAGTTTATAAAAAATGGTTTTATTTTTTTTTTACCTATAGGGTTCTTGTGAGGGGAACTTTGATTAAACTTTTTTCTTGGTATAAGTTATTGAGAAAATTGAGTGTGCAAGATAAGCAATCAAAATACTACAAGGTCAGTGACCCACAACAGATTGGATCAATTCTTGAAACAAAACTTTTCGTTGAAATGCTATTATAGCATGCTCAGTCATTGAGCCTTGTTAGCTGCTGCAACCTACAGTCAATTTCCTAGCTTAATGATGTGTTAGGACATACAGTAATTCAGTACCTGGGGGTTAAATCTGCACTTATATAGGTCTCAGTGTTCTAGCAGTATGAAGCTAACATGCATGCATGCACGTCTGATGTGTACTTGTTAATATAACTCAAAGGCTTTTATATAATCAGCCCTTCACTATCTAATCCTTATAAAGAGACTTGATTCTAAAGCATAGATGCGTCAAAATGCTTCAAGTTTTATAAAGAAATGTGCATACACCAAGCTGGTTGAAGATCATCATGGAAGTAAATCATCATCACTCCACTCATCAAACTTTACAAAGACACTTAAATTATCAGCCCTTTACTCTCTAAGCCGCATAAAGAGACACATGTTAAACATGTTCTTAATTATCAGCTTTCTGGGACAGATCACATAATTAAAGTCATGCAGAAATTTTTTGGTTATTCAGTGTATTTTATATCTCTTTGTAGATGTTTAAAGAATTGCCTAAATGTTTATCAGAATGGGTGGAAGTAGATGTTGCTTGTCTGAAAACCAGAAAGTAAGTTTCTTTCACACACACACACACACATACATATATATATACTGTATATACATATACATATATACACATAAATGTATATATATAACATATATACATATACATATATACATATATATATATATACTGTGTATATATATATATACTGTATATATGTGTATATATATATATATACTGTATATATACTGTATATATACTGTATATTACAATAAGCTATGTTTACACTAAGTATTTTAAATTAGTCAAGGCTGTGTAATGAGAATTCCTGATTCAGTGAGTTTGTGTTCACACACAAAGAAGGTCTGTTTTGCGCCCTCATCAACCATAGTCAACAGTCTGAAACATATCAATAATAATTAATTTGTAAAATCCTGCAAAAATAAATTTGCCTGTCTGTAGTTAGCTAAAAAAAGTTAATGCTTGAAAAATGGAGAATGCAGGATAGTTCAAGTTAATATTATTCAAAAGTTATTAAAATATGAAAATGAGTAAGAACATTGTTTGCTTTAGTAAGAAAATTAAGAAGAAATTGAAGCCAGACACTCTCGATAAAATGTTTGGGAGTTCCCCAACGTCATCAGACACTCTTGAGAACCTAAGAAATCTGGAGTCAAGCAACAAAGAGGATTTGTATGATTCAATGGCAGCATGCAGTGAGATAGATCTAGGAGGTAACTTTTGTTCATCGTATATATTTAATTTATTCATTCATTACTGTACATCTACAAAATAGTCACCTATTAGCATTTTCAATGGCATTGGCAGAAGTCTGACCAATGGATTGCCATCCCTCATGACTCCTGATATAAAATTTCACTATGCTAGTAGACAACTCTTTGAAAGAAGTCCTCTAACACTTTACACCTGGGGAGCCATCTTTCATGACCGCTAGACAGTGGATGCCAAACATAAATTACTGCAAATGGAAGTCTAACATATTGGTAGCCATCTCTAATGCCTTCGAACAGCAACCTAAAACATATTTTGCCATCGCTCATGACTCCTGAACAGAAGCTCAGCATATTCGTTGCCATCCTTAGTTACTGTAATCAATGCATTAGGACCTGACAAGGCTGACCATGCTTATTTCAAGTTACACTAGCAAATCTGAATAATTGTTTATATTTCATATTTTGATTCAATCTTAGAACCAATAGTAACTGCAGATAATGGCAGTATTAATCCAAAGAAGAAAAAAAAGAGGAAAAAGAAGCATTTATTGCATGAAGATGTTGACAACCTTGTGATGGTTAACAAGAATAAAGATGATTTTGATCCAATCCAGGAGAGTTATGAAGGTATGGGAAACAGGAGGCATCATAGAATGACAAGGCTTTTGGGAAGAGATGTTTAAGGTGTTGATCCTGTGTTTAACATGGTCATGTGCATGATAAATATTAAATGCAGTACAATCTTAGGAAAAAAAAGTTGGTGATTGTCTCCCAGTGTACTGCCCAATCAACACCCAGAAGTTTTAAAAATTTTGTGGGTTATTCAATGGGTAAGCCACCGTGACGTCACCCCTGGATCCTGCTGGTCTCCGCTGGAAACTATCAGCCCCTGATATCTCAGTTAGCCCCACTTGTAATGTATATCAAAAAGCTACTGATTACAAGACAACAAATTATGTTCTAAAATCCAGCTGTCCTTTCTAAATTAATGATGGTAATTTTTTCTATACTTTTGACAATTTCAGAAGAGGTGTCTTTAGAAGATCATACAGGAGTTGCTGTTTCAAAAAAGAAGAAAAAGAAAAAGAGAAAGCATGTTGTTGATGATGGTATCGGAAGTCAGCTTTGTGATTCGCTGCCATTCCAAGAGAGACTGAAAGCACGGATATGTGAGGAATCAGTTAAAGTAAACAAAATAATTGATGGTGAGGAATCAGTTAAAGTAAATAAAATAATTGATGATGAGGAATCATTAACTACGATAGAAACTATATATGAGAGAGTAGATACTGTTGTGAAAAAGAAAAGAAAAAGTGATATCAAAATATCATCAGATGAGAATTTTAAACATAAACACATACTGTCTGAAGACAAAGGTCACAGTTTGAAGAAAGATGGAAATAAGAATAAAAAAATGAAGATGCAAAATAAGACACAATTTGGTACAGACATAGTAGCTTCACAAACTGAGGTTATCCATGCAGTAGATCTAGCTGAAACTAATAGTGTAAATACATATGCTAAAAAATGTAATAAAAAGAAAAACAGTAAAAGAAAACAAGAAAAAAGAAAACATGGGAACACGGATGAAATTATGACAACAGATGACCCTCTGGGAGTTAATAACAAAAAAAGGAAGTTACTAGACTCTGAAAATCGGTCAATTTTCCAATGTGATGAAGATGAGATTGATGATATTTTTTCATGTTTACAGTGAGTAGGCCCAAAAAATGAGACCCAGGTTTTTAGCAGTTTCAGTCATTCAATTATGATCAAAGGAAGAGATCATCAATCCTCGCTTGCATCCTGGCTGCGATGGAATTAGGAATCAGGGGTGGGGAAGGAAGATTGCAGTTTTAAAAGCCATTAAGGACACTTGCAAAACCACCAAGTCTCTTTTATATGTTGATGCTCTCAATTGATTATTAAAGAATGAATAAGCTACAGAAACTTAAATATTAAAGATCTCACTAATTGACGACATTAAAAATATTCATAATTCTTTTATTATCATCAGCAAAATGATACAATTTATTGAAAGATTGCAGTTTTAACATTCACAATTTTTAGCTCATAAAATACTAATCACATATTTATTAGAAATGATAAAACTATTTTATGACCTAATGTATGAATATTGATTTGATTTACATAATAAAAAAATATTAAAATATATGATTTTCACCAGTTTTTATGTTTTGCGACAATGTGCTACAATGGAATGTTATCAAACTAATTTTTCTGCGTACTTTACATTATAATGATGGAGATTCCAGGGGTAGGAATGCCACCCCTTTCTAGTAAATGGTAAAAAAAAAACTGGTGTTGGAAATCCAATAAAAAGTACGTTCTGTCCATACTATTTAGTTTTATTGACAAATTAGTTATTTGTCCATATATGGGCAAATCATTTTTGCTTGTTGACCCTTCTTGCATCTCTTCCATTAATGTACAGTAATGGATCTCTATACCACTAAAGAAATATCTCTTGGAAGCTAGTACCAGGATTTTGACGTATAAAGTATTAAACCAATGCCTCCTATCTTTCTCTAGTGCATAGAAATGACGTATCTAGGAGTATTAAAATAGGGAGCTGGAGGAGGGTCATGTAGGTTAAGTTGAAGAGGGAGGGAGCTAGCCGGTGAAAAATTGTGATATAAGATTGTTTTTTCTGGGACGTGCTTCACTGAAACGCCACAGGTCTCTACATACTTTTTAAAATACCTGGTATAAGAGTATTACAGTATTACATTTTAATATACAGAAAAATTTATATGTTCAGCTCGTATTCACATGTTTCGTTAGGTAATTACAGCACCACTTAAGAAATATCAACATTTTGATATTCTGTACAAGGATACATTTTGGTTACATTATACATACAAAATTGTTATCAAGTACAATGAAAACGCTAATAACGTAGTTTGTTTTATACAAACACTACTAAAGATGCATAGGATTTTACTTATTAGCAATTTTAACATTTAACATTTGAATACAACTACAGTATTACCATCAAGTCTGAATATTGATTCAAGCTTGATGTATAGACAGGAGTGGAACCAGCGCGTCCGGCTGACTGGGCCTGGGCCCTTGGTCGGGGAGCCACTGTAAAATCTGTAGGGTAAAATAGAAAAATGGTGGTTGTGGACTCTGGCCCATCGTTCTTGGAACGATGGATCACTCGTCAGGGGTATCCTGGCGCCACCCGAGTTTAACCGAAAAAATTAGGTTAATCGACATATTTGGCTTATTTCATCACCTGATAGATTAGAGAATGATAAGCAACACAGGCAGGAATGAATGAAGTGAATATTCATATGAGATAACACTGGCAAATGTCATTATATAGAGTATGTCCAGTTAATTATATGCATTTTAAAATTTATTTTTGTGCATTTTTTTCTTATATCTAATTTAATTTTTTAATTTAATTTTATTTATATATTTTTAAATAGATAATTACATTTCATTTTAGAATAAACTTGAATTTTACTAGTGTACGAAGAGATAGGGAAAAAGCCAGCTTCAACATTTTCAGCAGAGTGATTCATAATTTTTTTTTTTAAATCAAGGGAAGACATCACAATCATGTCTAATCTGTAATTATTTTACTCAAATCAATAATTTTTTTATGAGTAAGTAAACACTGATAAAATATAATATTTTATAATTTATATAATATATATAATGGCCAAAAATAATTAATGCAATAATAATAAAGTGCACCCTCCAATTCGGGACCCCTCTATTTCTAGACCCTTCTAATTCGAGAACACTTTCTAAAAAAAAACCATATGACAATCTTCAATCTTTTAACACAAAGCCAACCCTCTAAAGGAGTTAAATCGCGAGACCACCCCAAATATTCAGGTCCGAAAGGTGGTCTTGAATTGGAAGGCGAACTGAAAGCAAGCTTCCTCCCTGTCCAAAATTATCTCAGTTCTGTATCTTTACATAACTTGAGCTAAGACATTTATTATACATTGCTTTGATAAACCAAACACTTGCTGATGATTTCTATAAAAATAAAATTTCATTTCTAGCCTAAACAGTGTACCTGTTGATTTTACCTGCTCCCATAATTAAATAAATATAAAGTATTATCAATCACATTATGTAACTCTACATCACATTTTGTACACAGCAAATTTAAAAACAAGTTCTCGTAATCTCGAAAGCTCCGATGAGGACAGTATAATAGAGGCAGTAGAGTGTGTTGGCACTAACGGCCGCCCATACAAAAAAGATCTATTAATCAATCGAACAATCAATCAATCAGCAGAGTATTCCTAGAGCTCCTTCAAAATTACATAGTAACTATGGCTCATTGATCTACAGGCATGAATGTAGATTAGGGTGTGAAAGTCAATAACTATGGCTTATTGAGGGTGTGAGGGGTCCCTGGTTCACTACCTGGACAGGCCAGTTATTTTTTTTTTTTCGAAAAAAAATTAAAAAAAACACAGTCAATCAGCCGGATATTCCTTAAGCTCCTCATCGGATATAAAAATCTTTTTTTCCAGTAACACAGATTTGAGGAATTCCCCTTCTGCGTGTGGTTTCCATTTAAAATATAACCTCTCCTGTTTTAAGCAGGGTGTGAATAAATATAATTTGAACACAAAACTGAAATGCATTGTTAATGTTTGATTGTTATATTCTTTGTTAAATTATCTTATTTCCCTTGCTTTTTATTTTCATCATTTTCTTTCCTATACCTTCAGTCGCTTTCAGCCTTGTATTTAGTAATTTCTTTTAAATATTTAAAAAAAACCCAAAAAAAATTTGAATAGCTCATTCATTGACTACTGCCCTCTATGGCTGCAGTCACTTTCTTTATCCTAATCTATTTTCCTTTGTTAACATTTTGGGAACCGATAATAATGCTCAAGTTGGCATTCCAAGAAAATAAAACTCAGCGGTCTGCTTGGTATTCAAACCTAAACAAACTTAAGCGCAGCAGTATTCACACACTCCCAGTGGGAGCATATTTTCAATCAACTTAATACAGTTTTGTTAACTTGATTACCAGCTAATTTAAGAGTCTATGCAAAAGAACATAATGTAGAAAAGCTACTATTTATACACCATTTAATTGGCAAGAGAATTACTTATTTTAACTTTAATTTTTTATTGAATGACAACTACTAATGTAACTATTATTTTACTTTTAAGAAATAGGAAATAAATTTAAATTTAACCAAAAAATTAAAAATGTCTGATTTGAGGGGTAAAATAGTTAAACAATTATATGCCAAAAATTCAGACTGACAAGACATGGGTACGGTATATAGATAGATACAAGTATGCATTTGTTATATATGACAACACTGACAATTACATAGTAAATTAACTGAATGGTCAGTTGGGAAATACAATATAAAATATACAATACATTTTTCATTTTGAATACATTAAAAACAAATTGTTGAATGATACTGAAAAAATCAGGAGAATGAAAGTTGGCTGCCAATGGAATGTTCCGTTAAGCCCCACCCTTGGATATTGTTGTTAAGATTCCATAAAGTGACAGCCATTAGGTAGACAAACATGGCTAAGTGTGCATTATAAACGTAACTGTGATATTCATAAACTGTTTACTATTACATGAACTGGTAACCATAATAACCATACCCTGGATAGCAGCGTGCGCGTAGTATCAAGGTGCGTCGTGCCACACTACATTTGTATTACCGCTTGAGGCGGGATTTACTCTGTGTTATGTATTGAAATAAAGTAGACGTATTGAAGTTTACTCCCAGAGTCATTCTACTTTTTAATAGTCATCGAAGCTATTACAGTGGCGACGAGGATAAAAATACTTGAATTACAACCAGTGAAACTTCCTGAGAGTCATGGCACAATTAGGTGTTCTTCGGGAATTCCAGGATGGTGAAAATTGGACAGACTTCGTCGAAAGGGTCGAGCAGTATTTCATCGCAAATGAAATAAAGGACGACGCCAAGAAACGAGCTGTCTTGCTCACGGTGTGCAATTCGAGGACATACAGTCTAATGAAAGACTTGCTTGCACCAGCTAAAGTAACAGATAAGTCATACAACGAATTGACTGAATTAATGAAGAGTCATTCGGAGCCTAAATCAAGTATAATCGTAAGTCGATTCAAGTTCTACTCTGTCTCTTATACACATCTAGATGTGTATAAGAGACAGGTATATGAATAATTTTAATGCAATAGTTAGTTGATAACTTCATTCTAATTTGTTTTGTTTTGGGTCTTTTTTCTGTATTTTTATTAGCGGTTAGACATGGTCTAGGCCGGGTCTAGGCTAGCCTAATCACATCAATTTAAAATAATTTTGTAGACATACTTGCCTTATATCTTAACTTAACAGGTGATTTTATTAGTAGACTAGTTTGCTTTTAAGTATGTAAGTATGATTGATTTGCATTCCAAGTGAAATTAGTACCATTATTTTGCTTTGTTTTACCGTACCGTAATTCTCGGCAAGGCCTAGCAGTACGCCTAGCCAATACGCAGTGTGG